ATACACATAAAGTATCTCGTGAAGACTTCACCCGTAAAATGATCTGATCAACATCCATAGGGACCTTAATGATGTGACGAATATCCCAATAGCAGACGGCAGCTCATGCATTGAACAAAAAGTTGCTAGCAAGGTCCTACACGACTTGACTCGGCGGATATCTCGTGTTGTAGCCAAAATAGATCGTGAGTATTTAGGATATGACTATGCTCAACTCAGAATCATCCATATTATATAGATTTTTATGTATTTACCACGAATCTTGTAACAGTTATCGATCAATGTACCTTACAATGGGAGTAGTACTAGCACGGACTTAGAAGTGCTGACGATGTTGTATAACAAAGATGGCGGCTGCAGCAAGGTGCTCGTTGAACTCACGTTGAGCTTTAATATATAAAATAACTGATGGTATATGATATCGCTTCACAGTGAAGCAAATACTTTTCCAAGTCGTATTCAGTGAATACTAAGCCATAGAAAACAGTTAACGTTACTGAAAAAAATTGCAANTGATTACTAGCAGGATAGGGGGACAACACAGTTTAGTGATAACTAACAGGATAGGGGGACAACACAGTTTAGTGATAACTACCAGGGTAGTGGGACAACACAGTTTAGTGATAACTAGCAGGATAGTGGGACAACACAGTTTAGTGATAACTAGCAGGATAATGGGACAATACTGTTTAGTGATTACTAGCAGGGTAGTGGGACAACACAGTTTAGTGATAACTAGCAGGATAGGGGGACAACACTGTTTAGTGATAACTAGCAGGGTAGATGAACATTTTGCTATGACTTTATGAAGCAAAGTTGGTCCGAATTTAAAAAGGAGTCAACTGACTTAAGGTCAAGGTCATTTTATGTTATAATGTAGCAAACTTGTTCAGAACTTAACACAGAGTCAACTGACCTTAGCTCCAGGTTACGGGGTCCAAAGGGTTTAGGTCAAGTTTTGTATTTTTCACTGATGAACATTTTTTTATGATATTATGAAGCAAAGTTGGTCGGAATTAAAGAATAAGTCAACTGACCAAAGATCAGGGTCACTGGGTTATTGGTCAAGGTCATTTGGGTCCAAAGGTTAAAGAAAAAGTGGATCTCTGACTTTGACCTTGGCTCTTGATGGAGGAGGTATATAAGGTGAAATAAAACAATTTAAAGCTAACAAATGAGTATTGCACCGGTATTTACATTTCTGTTAGCCCAGCAAATATGGAGGTGGTAGGAAACAAGACTCACATCATGGTACATGTGAAATGTATATTTTGCTTCCTTGCAATTCTTTTTGAAGTCCAAATGTCAAACGTCAAGCTCAGCTATATGGGCAGATTGCTTCTTGATGATTATGGGGGATATATTGCCACAAGACGGGGCTATTCTAATTTCGCATCAGGCTAAATATTATCAAGAGTATGGAAAATTATAAAATCTTTGATATTATATGGACCTATAAATGCACTGCTAAGATATCATAATTGAATTTTGATAAACTTGATATACTAATGGCCAATTATGTCAGGACAAATTATACTCTCTTAGGTTTTAATGTTAGCTAATTGGGAGGAAAGAATTGGGGATCCAATCAGTCAGTGACAGCAGTAAATGTTTATATACAAGTGTATTCATGTAAAAACATTATAAACAGGTCAAATAACTGTCATAATAAGGTCTCATAGTATCAAAAACGAAATAAGAACAGCTTCTCCATCATCTGGCCAGATCTAAGCTGACATGTTTTGGGTGAAATATCAATACAGCTTCCCATTGAAGGTGTTTATATCCATGACTTCTCCATGTCTTCATAGACTTGTTTGTGTGTGTTGTCTGCTTGCATGTTGCACAGCTGAATCGCCAGTTGCGTTTCCACAGACAGAGCCATATCTTTTTTCTTCAATCTTTGCATGTGTCGGTGTAGATGTGTCAGTGTAGATGTGTAGATGTGTCAGTGTGGATGTGTCGGTGTAGATGTGTCAGTGTAGATGTGTAGATGTGTCAGTGTGGATGTGTCGGTGTAGATGTGTCAGTGTAGATGTGTAAATGTGTGATGTCTGTATCCGTGTATACACGTACATGTTGTCTACCCTAATGTATACGCATGCCACTAACATTCTCCAATGAGCTTGTATTTGTATTATCGTCGATTTGTTTGTATGTATATCTTTTTTATTCATCTTGTTTGAAAGAGTCTGAAACTGTATTATACTTCCAATATATTGATTTCAATTCTAGTTTTCCAAATTAAGCATCAGATTTGCTAAAAAAGTCAATTCCATCTAGCTTTTCTTAGAAAACATTGTGTAAATTTTAAACTAACACATTAGAGGATAAGTTGTTGTATAATTTGAAATACTTGAGAGGTGTTTTTTTTTAAAACAAGTTAGCTAAACTGGTTCCTTTTTAATTGTTGTTTGTCAATGATGTACACTACTATTTTCAACAACAAAAAGTGAGTAACCACCTTATATACACAAATAGAACCATATTTATTTATAAGAACAGTTTCTGCAATTTTCATTCAATTTCCAAGATTTGAATTTTGAATGAATATAAAGTGAA